GGCTGCAATTGAAATGATCTCATTTTTGGAACATGACTATAGAAATAGACGAAATGTTGATATCACGTGTTTGTTCACCCCTTTGCATACCCAAATCTGTTTTCAATACTTTTCAATGTCAGTTTAAGTCAATTAGGATTTGATGACCACAGAACCTTGCAATACACCATTATTTAATTACCTAAAACTATTGACTCGGCCATTCACAATGAAATTTGACACGTACTTGACATCGTTTTTGCTTCACCAGTAATCAGCAGCATCTTTTTAAAGCCAATGTTTTGTTTCGATGATTGAATTTCATTTCGAGAGAAAGTAGCTCAAGGTTGGTTTTAATTGTTTATTACGTTGACACGTGGGATGTTATGATCAGCAAAATATAAACAAATAACCCGGTCGCACGATCGAGATCTACAACTGGTGGTGTGCCCTGAATATACACGTGGCTTAAATTCCTTAAACATATATATTTGTTAATACTCATGTTCCTACATATATTAATGAAACAACTTTATTCCGTTTACATGGTTTATGCACCCATTTCAACTTTTTAATTCGTAGCATATATATATATATAGTACAATAATGCCAGAATGAGACACTGCGTTTAATTTTGTTAGCTTTTACAAATTTGTGTATACAGTATTTACACACGCTTATTTCTTTAGATCTTCTGCAGGTGCCCATTTCATTTCTTAATTTCCAACTCTCTTCATATTCTTCATAAAGACGTTAAAAGACGGGAGTTGCTGCTACCTTGTTTGGCTGCCGGGCCCACGATCAATTGGGCAAAAAGAATTTCCATTTTCGTTTTAATAAAATTTGGAGTGGACTTTAAAATATTATTATTATTATTATTAAATTTGCTAGTAGATTTGTTTATTGTTAAAACATGTATATCCGATATTATCACCATCACGTTTTACATACCAATTTTGTGTTTAAAATGTAAATGCTCAAATTCTAAATGTTACGAGAAAAGGAAATGAAATGCTTTGTCCATTCTCTCTTTTTTATCTTCTTTTCCCCCACTCATCCGTGTATGTAAATTCGATTTATTTTACGTATGCTGTGCAATATATTGAAATTTCCATTATTATTGTCGTTAATATATTCCTTGAACTAATTTGTGATTGTTTCCATGTTGATGTATTTGTAATTTCTCTTTATTTCTTTGAACTTTGTAATCTTTGTTTGTATCAGTCTCACGACTGTTTTAACATGGAATTTTGACTCAATAAACCGAAATGAATGGAAGAAGAAAAAAAGTGGACAACAGAATCGGTCGGTTCGGAATCGGGTTGGCGGTGTGACAGAGGTTTGATACTCCAGTCACATCCCGTACCGACCGATTATTTTCTATTCGTGGCGATTTGATTTTTCAGCGATCTATCGTCGCTCTGGGCCCTTTTTCATTAAAAAAATATATCAATTAAAAAAATGACAAATTTCTTTGACAAATATGCTCTTTGCCAATCAAATGCCTCGACTTCAGTAGCTTTTAACAGTTATTGCAACTTGTTATTGATAACAAGTTTCATGTATGTATGTATTGTATTTATTAAACTTCATTGAAGTACATCAATATTCTGTTTATAAACATATAATCACTTTACAATGTAACAGGGCACAGATGGTTGGTTTCGATCGTATGACTGGGGTCCTCATAAACCAAAAATACTTGCTAGAAACCGCATGTACCGGAAAGCACCACACATATACATGACAGACCTGCTGGGTCCCGTTTCATAAAACATACCATTGATGGTAACTACCATGGAAACAGGGCTCAACAGCCAATCAAAATCAAGGTTTCCATGGTACTTACTATTGATGGCAAAGTTACCATCAATACTAAGTTTTATGCAACGGGGCCATGTTTAGCAAGTGAATCATTCGGAGTTATTGTATGTTCTACCATAATTGTAGTTGAGAACATTCCGTGCAAGTTTCATTTGATTCTTGAGAATTCTTCTGTCATAACCAGAACTCAAGATTAGGGCCTAAACATTACCTTTGATACCCATTTTATTTGTTTGTTCGTTTGTGTTTTGTTTTGTTTTGTTTGTTCTTTCTTTAGTTCTTTTTGTCAAAGCTAGGAATGAAAGCAGGAAAATTATCATGAACTGACTTTTATCGAGGCTTGTTGTGAACGAAACACTTGCATATATTATATTTCAATTTAATCTTTGTTTAAGTATTTTCTTGCAAAGTTTGTGCTACCAATATACTTGAGAGAAATTATCGTAATTAGAAATTTTGTATATCTAAATGCTTGTAGAAAAACATTATTTAAACAAAAAACTATTGGGAAGTTTCAAACAAATTATGAGATGAGATAGTTTTTAAGAAAAGTTTGTCTTGTTTTTAAAAAAAATGATTAAAGAGTTGTGACCAACACCGTATGGGTTAAATGGGCATTTTATATAAAGATTTGCCTAGTAAGTGATAGGGATTAGGATTGGGGGAAATAGTGAAACAAATACCATTATTACGAAACAAATAAAAGATTTACACAGGAATTAAGATGTTTCTTTTTTATTATTTATAACATTGATAAATAACTAAGCATTTTATTATTAAAAACAGCACTATTCAATGGTTTCAACTCTGAATTGCATGATTGATAATAATAATAATAATGATAATACTCAGTTTTTGTATAGTGCTTATTACAATCACTAAGCGCTTCCAACATTGGAGATCATTACCTCGGCTTTAGCTGTGCTGCCATTATGGCGCTCTAGCATTTCAAAGAATTAATTCCTGCCAGGTAACCATTTACATCACCTGGGTTGAGTGTGGCAAATGTAGATCAATGTCTTAATAAAGGACATTAGTGCCACGGCGGGTCTTAAAACCACAGACCTTGTGATCGACAGTCTGGCGACTTAACCACTCGAGTGACTCGACCATGGCACCTCTGCCAAAATAAGGCATATAAGTGTTAACTTGATAGAGGAATATTACCCAAGTTCATTAACCAATTGACACCTACAGTTGCGTGCTTCAAAACATTAAAGCCATTGATTCACTGCGAAATTAAAAATATATATTTTCATTTATTCATTTTTACATTTTTTTGAAAATCTTTTCACTTTATTTGAGGTATCACAGTATGCAAATCTTTTCCATTGAAACACATCTTTTTCCATGTACTTCTAACTTTCGAAAAAGCAAGTGTTAGTGAAGGGAAGCAAAAAAATGAAGATGTTGACAAAATCATGGATTTCCATGGAAATTACTTCTCTTCTTATGACATATGTCTAAGGGTACGTGAGTAATATGGTCAAGACAGAAACATTCTCATTATCACTGAAATATCAAAATGAAACTTGGCAGGTGTGAATGAACCCCAAATATTTCACTTCAGACTCATATGACAAAGTTAGAGTAATCCTGACCTTTGGAGAAACATTGCCAAGAAGAGGAAACCAAAGATTCCCCCCCCCCCCCCCCTCTTTAAAGATTGATCCTTATTCCTCTTTATGCGACTCCTAGTAGTTTTCTTTTTACAAAACAGGTAGATGTTTTTTTTTTTCAATTCAATTATTTTCATAGTTCATTCACAGTAACATACTGCTATCAATACAAAATTACTTGGGAATCTCTAAAAGTAATGGGCACAAGATGGCGCTAGACACCAAGCTGATAATGAGCCATTGATAAGGAGAGTTTGGGCACAATATGGCAATACTGCTTTGTTGGGCAAGCACAAAAACAAGAGCATACTAGACCTGCAATCGTGGCACAACGATATGCGTGCAATGACGGCCGATTAGGCACTAACGGTCGTCTATACTAACATAATTATCAACAGTATAATATGGTGTCTAAAATGGAATTAACTCACAATTTTGTGTGTGAACATATATAATACTTGGTATCATCCGAAAGGGCACTTCATTGCGGTCAGTTTGACACCATTGTCATCTGTGCGCAATGTACTGCACGCATTAAACGTGCTATTACGTAATGTATAGTAAATTCATCATTTTGGGCGATAACTTTGCGCTGACGTCATTGAAATTTACTAAACTTGGCGGACAGTTGTTACGTATATTGATACATGTGTCTGCTAAGTTTCATTGTTGTGGGTATAATGATCGCAATTTTAGAGCAAGTTGAAGTTATTTCGGAATTTTCTTGAAAATGGCGAATTTGGAGGGCAATTTTCTCAAATTTGGTCAGTGTTAGGGTATATAATTTTGTATATGGCTGAAAAGGGGATATCTTCGGGTATCTAAATCCAAAAAAGGGTTCGGGATTGCCAAGACACAATAGTGATACGGCCACAGAAAAAAAGCCAAGTCCCAGAACTTTAGAGGGCGCTATTTATGTTTTGCATAGTTATTGGAGCGTGAAATAAGGCATGGCTATGCGCAATTGTAAGATAAGGATACGATGTAATTTAAAAACAAAATGGAATTTATATGAGAAAGTTATGGCAGTTTTAGATTTATAGGGGTCAATTTTTCAAGAATTTGAGAGATTTTTGACGGAATCGGTTTTGGATTTGATTTTTGAGTCCGAAGATGGCATTTTGAAGGTCAGGTTATACGTCGCAGATGAAAGAACATCTCTTAGACTATCTAAAGGAATTTGTTAGAAGTTGTAGGATCTAGGATAGTGGAGATAGGAAAGAAGAAAAAAAGGCCTAAAAATGGACCAGAAACTGACAAAATGGCGCCTGGATGGTTATCCATGAGTGATTTCGAAAATCGAAAAAAATAGGTGACTTTGATGAGATGCTAGAGACTATGCCTGTGAAATTTGAACGGAAATGGACATGAGGAAAGCACCTAACTAGGAATAACAAGCACTATGTGCAAATCGAATGCGATTTCCTGATGAGGAAAACAAGAAGAAGAATATTAATGGTGCAGAATGTGAACGAAAACATATTCGTCATTGCAATAAGCCATGTTGTGACCAAGTGAAACCAAATTGGCCAAACTCTGTGAACAAATGACTCCGGGCTGATATACCTTTCTACATAATAGACAGCAACAAATTTAATGAATGGTCTCCTGCAAAGTAGAACTGGCCATTTTGGGGCATATAGTGACTGAAAAATATATGATTATTAAAAATGGCATCCATAGGCTCATTCCATCAGTGAGTCCTCAGAGTGCATTACTTTGTATACTTTCTGCAATTTAGGGCTCTTACAGAGAGTTGATATCAATCGCAACTTACTTGCAAGTGATATCAATCGCAACTATGTATATAAAAAAATATAAGACTGCAAACTTGCGATAGAGTACTTGCGATTGATTTTGATTAATCGTAACTCTTTGTAAGAGGGGCCCAGGCCTTGAAGAATTTGTACCAGTTGCAGCTTATAAATATAGCCAATTTATATAGAGAGGTTTCATTCAATGTTTTTGAGGATGGACACAAAACTTTTGCAGCACATTGTGACCCTCGTGAGACCTTCTCCTTCATCCAAGCTGATCAATCTCCAGAACATCCTGAATGTCTCCAACTCAGTAGTAACATTCATGAATGAACGCAAAGGAATGAAACACAGACCTGGAGCCAGCGAAGTAGTTCAAGCACCACGCAGGGTCCTTAAAACAGTCCAAAGCTGAGTTGTCCCTTGTTGGCTGCCGGTACTAAATGTTTCCTCAACAAACCAAAGAGGTCTTTCTTCAGTTCGGGGATATCCACAAACCTCCTGAGCTTAGCATCGCGCCAGTTCCAATCCAGTACAACATACTTCATATCGTCCACGGTAAATGATCCAGATTCGAGAAGGCTTGAGACTCTGTGGGGCGTCGCTACCGCAAACTGGACTCTGTGACTGCTCAGGTATTTCTCTTGCTCGCTGATCTGAAATTGTGAGAGTAATTGGATACATTGATTGACTGATTGATTAGTGTTTAGGTTATTTCATGGCAAGGGATATTATTTGGTTTCACATAATTCGCCTGAAAAGAGACCCTTACATATTGGAGCCCTGTACTTTCTGTAAAGCATGAAGCCTGAAAAAGCTTGAAACAGAAATGTATCAAAGGTTTAAAATCAAACAGAAGCCTGAAAATTGGCAACTGTCACAAACATCAAGAAGAAATATGGGCTTAATTCAAATCTTAAGCAAGGGACTAGGCAAACTGAGATCACTGTCAACCCTAGAGCACAGGTTCAATATCTTGGTTTTGAAAATGTAAGGAGTGCTATTTCAAACTAGCATGTAATAAAAAAAATACTCCAGGTATTAAATACATTTTTTTTTTCTTCATTTATAATTACACGAGGGCGTATATCTACCTAAAAAACATCCATTTGCTATAAAGCATAGAGTTTAGAAAGTACTTCTTCCTATCTTTGATTATTCTGTAAAATATGACTTTCATAGGTCCACACCACTTGCAACATTAACCTTTTTAAGCGTGCATGTGTTTCTGGTTTTCCAGTACCATTCCATCCCCTACCAGCAGGCTTTCAGCCCGGACCCCAAAATTGGGTGATCTTATTGAAAAATAGGGTGTCAAAAATAGAGAGAGCATCCATTAAATGATATAGGGCATCTTCCAGAAGAGATGGGCATCTTTCGTATGCCAAAAAAGCAGCCTTTTTGGCTATACCTTAAGCCCGCCCTCGAAACTAAATGATGCAAAATATCCACTTACCCGTAAGTGCTTAGCAAATAGCTTCGCCGTTACACAAGTTCCCTTGAACGCCTGCGTATCTCTATTCAGGTCTACTGCCCTCTTTGCGCTAGATGTGAGAAGTAGAACGATGCTAGAATGGTTTGAGGTCTTCTCCTTCTTCTTGTGTTCATCAACCATGTCCGTCCATGTGGGTATATTCCTTGAGAGGTAGCCTGATATTGGATCCTTGTCATAATTGGGCGCTAAGAAGCAGTCATCTGAATGGGAAAGTAGGGAAACAAAATGATGCTATAGATATGGGATGTCTCATCATGTCTGCCAAGCTTCTCTCATCAAATTTCTCCTCTGTTCTTAAAGACTTTTTTTCAGAATTTTCCTTTCGGGAAACTCATATCATCTGCAGAATTTCTTCTGTAAGCTTTAGTATGTAATCGTGAACTTTACAAATGTATGCAAGGCTTGTAATTATTAGCTATTGAAAGTTTTGGGGGCAACCGAAAGAGACTAGAATAGACAACCTGGTATGTAACTAAAATCAAACAAAGTGGAAATATTCAGTTGAACGAAAAAGACAACTATCAATTACTATGTAATGTTTAACCTATTCTTATAATACGTCTTCTTTGTATTGATTTATCTAAAGAATTTAAAGAAGCAGAGTTTCCTTTCATTCTTCCAGATATACATACCATCAAGAATAAGTTCTTCCATCTCAACAGTTGATAAGTCATCATGGTAGTATGTTGCCATGGATACTTGCAGGTCATCTTTGGTTCCTGGCTGGTCACCTACTGATGCTAAATGAGTGGTCAAATTTTTCTGTTGGAATTAAGATATAAGTAAACTATTTAAATAGTTCCAAGTCATGGGAAAATTAACAATTGAACTGACAAAAATCAACAACATTCAATTTTTCTCACAAATGAACTTCGCAAAAATTCTGGCAAGTCCTTAAAATATGTGTTTAAAAATTCTATATGGCATTTATTCAATTTTCTTGAACCTCTACAGTTTTTTCTGAGAATTATCACTTTATAGTCATTTCATCCTGTTTATTTTCTGTGAAAATGTATTTCTTGCATAATATTTGAATATTAAATATATGTTTTAATTTCTATCCACTTCATTCCGATAAATATTACTCAAGAGTGACTCAGAGTATCTTGTTCCAATCAGTGGTATCTACTTGTATCAAAATATTTGAATGTTTGTCCTAAGCCAACTATCTGAGTGTTACTGCTATGTCTTTTTTCATGAACGCACCTTCTTTTTCTTCTTCTTTGCTTTCTTTGCTTGTTCTTTGTTCTCTTGTTCTTCTGAGGTAGGGGGTTGCTTCCTCTTCTTCTTTATTTGCTCGTTTTCCTTCCTCAAAGTTGAGGCTTTTTTCTGTCCATGTTTGACTCCAGGAGGGACTGTGATCGAGAAATTAATCATATAGTACGAAATCAGAATATTTGAGCTTTAGTTATTACTTTAAAAAACATTTGCCACCTGCCATGCCATCCCGGTGAAGAATATTGTAAGTTGTAGGAATTCTTCTCCTTCTAATCTAAATTATTTAAACAGAATCATATCTTTTTAACAATTGAATTTTGCTGAATCTATAAAAAGATTGATCATATCGTGGTTTTGGGAACCACTTGTTCGTCAGCATGCACACCGTTGTGACAGAGTTGTGTGTCGAGTGAGGAGACTGGAATGGGGGGGGGGGGAAGACTAAAGACCATGACCAATTGCGTGTGACGCAATGAACGCTACTGTGCAGAGCAAATAGTAGTTTCCTATTTCATGATAACACCAAAAGATTAAGACCCGATTATTGTTTCAAATGATAACATAGTTAAACCTAATACCGAATATCATATAGACCTATCATTGCATTGGTCGCTTACATTACACCCAATTTTATGTTCAACCAACATATTTCTAAACGATGTGGGACTGCACTAAATTCACGCAGCCCAATGTCTGAGAGTAAATGTGCTTACAATCACAGAAATTAGATAAATATGCATTGATATGAACACTGTGAATACGTCATTATGACGTGCAAACGTACCATCTGGTTCTATATCGCCCTGTCCTCCAGTTGTGTCACCATCCAACCACCATTCGTCGCCAAGATCGTCTGCCATGCTGCTAACATAAAATAAATATTGAAGTTAAAATAAGACTACGCTATACATGTTGAGCTTTGTCGATTATTTTCAGGTTGACTTTAGATGTTGCCAATTTTAGTTTTAGTAATAATTAAATGTTTGTGAAATAAAAATGAATTCTAAGAGGCATTTATTTAATTTAACTTTTTATTATATTCAATGAAAAATATATCCATTATTATTAAAAAAGTTAATTGTACTTATTTTTAATAAATAAAAAGCAAAATCAGAAATAAATACCTTACAAACACACTTTTTTTAAGAGTTGAATTTTTTAAACTGGCAACGCGCATAACCCAAAATATGATCGACCGAACTCATAGAGATACTTAATAAGGCTATGACCGAACTTCAAAGTTGGTAGTCGCGATTCAGCATGCCACTTCCTAAATGAAATGAATGTGAACTGCATCCCCCAAAATAGACATTTCATTTTAAAAATGCATGAGCATTGAGTGAAGTCAATTAAACTGTGAAAATGAGGAGCACCCCAAAGTGAGCATGCACTTGTATAATGAATGTGTAGCTTGAAAAAAGTTGTGTACAGGCTTTCAGGACTTTTTTCAGAACTTTATTCTAGGGAGCTATACAACATGTTAGTTTATTATTTACAATTTCATCACGTTAGACTTTTAACCGGGACAACGATCACTGAATATTGTAAAAAATCGCTTATGCTTCCAATATGTTCATCTGAACCAAATTCATATACCAAAACTTAATTATAATTACCTTTAAAGTTTGAATACATTGAAAATGTATATTTCTGCTTAACGTTGCTGCAGTTGTTTTTTTTAATTTGTTTTCTTGCATAGTATCTCCATTCTTATTTGGTTTTCTTGTTCTGTATCATTTAGTAGATAATTACAAACTGGCATATGATTTCGCAGCTAACAAGTCAACGTTTGATCATGCATGATGTGTCCTCCAAGTGGTATAGCGCCATCTCTTGTTTTAAACATTACAGTGAATCGAATGCGTACAATTTTTCGGTTTTCTGTCAACCTAATATTTGGTATAGCGCCAGCTCTTGTTTAATGACGCATATTTTTACACGTCAGTATTGAAATCTATTTGTATCAAGTGCAGAAGTCCTACAATCAATCAGTCAATCAAGTGAACAACTAAATGAATCACAAAAACCTTGATTTTTACAAATAATTGATATGCTAGAGCTCCTGAAATCTTAGATATATCCCTCAAAGGATATTTCATGTCTTCGTGAATTTTCATTAGTTATTTGGATTCTTTCTAGATTCTAGGTCCAATGATGATGTCATTTGGGTTGGTGATTCCAAAACCTTGTTGTCGCGTTTACGTAATTAAGTTGATCACAAAAAAAATGTTTCCTAAGGGGTAAGTTTACCACATTTAGTGTTTTTAAACATAAAAGCAGAAAGTGAGAGCGAACAGATCGGTCCAAAATAAGAAAGTTATGAAGTTTTATGGAGTTATATTCAATCAAACAAAAATGGGCAATACCGTCATGTATTTTGAAGTCATCTCTTTCCCATTTGCTTTGTCATGTACAGACAATTTCATAAATATCAATTTTCTGAGTTACTGATGAAGCAATAATTGTATTTTTTCACACAGGAGTTGTGAAGAAACGTATGTTCAGTTATTTTATATCCAGGGGGCATGTTGATAAATATTTTCTCGAGAGTAAATTGAAGTTTAAGAGATTTTAATTCCAGAACAAGGACAACACAATTCGAGAGGACGTTAACCGCGCAAGATACAACACTGGGTTTCCATTTTATGTCTTGATTAAAACTTCGATAATCCAAAACTCCCTAATGTTTCGCTTAAACTGTCACTGTTGACTATTCTGCTTCTCTAATTGTTTTCTGCTTCTATTGAAAACAACTTTAGATTAAGGTGAACGACCCCTATGAGCAAATGGCGTGGCAGTCTTCAAAAAAGCACACCAAAATAAGAAGCAGAATAAAACAAATCTTGTTTTTCGGGATTTTTTTCTTAAAATTTGTTATATTTGGTAGTATAGTGTCTACATTTCGCTTGTCTAAAAAATTAAATTTAAAAAAGAGCCACCTCATATCGAGTAGGTCATAATAGGCAGGCAGAGCACTAAGTTCGTAAGAGAGATGCCTACGGAGGATCAAATCTCTTTGCCTTAAAAGTGGTTTAACGGCAGTTTTGTTTAATACATTATAGTCAGTCAAATGCTGCGTTGAACTCACATTACTTAGCCTTGTATAAAGTTCGGTGCATTGAACTCACGCCATCTCTCGCTTATTATAAACATTTGATTGATTGATTGATTGATATTCGCCAAGCGTCCAACCAAAACAATAAACAATAATAACAGATCAAAATTAAGTCAGCTTGAACAGGATAACCCATGAAAGCTCGAGAGCTTATTTCCAGTGGGGTCCCCATTAAGCATATAATGATCATGTCAGCCAGTAGCAGTGGAACAATCAATGATTAAGAACTGTCTATTTTTGTTTTCTTAAAAACGATAAACTTTTTGTTAATATATCTTCTTATATCCCTGTAAACATTTTCTAGCTTGTCTACATTACTGACGTTAGGTTTGTTTAAACTTTAAGATTTTCATTAGAGTCCTTCACCGTTCTGTTGTCCATCTTACCGAATTGTTAAAGATGATTATTGTTGATATTCTTAATGCTGCTGTTGTTGTTATTATTATCATTCTTCTTCTTCTTTAATTTTCACCTAGTGTATCAATCAACTTTTTTGGAGAATATACTCTCCAAACTTTTTCATCAGTTTCCTCTACAGTGCGACTATAATAGCCATTGGGTCTTATATGCCAGCCACTGTTCCTGATACATGGAGATTACTATGCTTGATCAACTTCAGATCCTATTTCTGTCATGCAGAAATGTTTCACAAAAGTATTACGGGAACTTTCAAGTCTATTCAGGGAGGTGTGATCCATAGTGTAATAAATTATTGATTATATCTATCTATCTACTAGTATTTGATTTTACTATTTACGAAACCTAATTATAAGAAGCCCCCTGTTATAGAGTGAAATGCAGACTTCATTTTCTACCGTCCAATTTTTAAATCTGAATTTATAACTCGGCTTCACCCAAATTTCCCTGGGGCAAATTTCTTAATTGTTATCTATATAGGCCTAGGGCGTTTCTGATTTTTGGCATTGCTTTAGTTTACGTGGTTTAATTATGCCGACTAATTTTAATAAATATTTGTTGCCTAGTATAATACAGAAGAATTGAAAATTAATCTTTTTCTCAACAATCGAATAATTTTGGTGAAATTAAGCATGCAATGATGTTAAGTGTTATATTACTGCAGTATATATGTCATAATGCCATTCAATTCAGTGTGGTTTGTTATGTTGTCGAGCTCTCTAATTAGCATATCACTATACAAGTTTGGTATCCAAGTTTCCCATTGGCTAAATCGCCTACATGTGAGTGTGACGTCACATATTACCCTCAATCTTCAAACATGGCTGATCAGTGGAACAGGTAGCAGTACGTATCAAAACACATAATCGCAACTAAAATGAAGGAAACATAACTTGTGGACCACTTCGGAACTCATTGCCAAGGATCTAGGTGGCTTAACATCTTAGCTACCGAAAATTTCAGGTGTCACAAGAGCAATAAAGACCTTGCTATCTCAAATCGGGACCCTTTTGAACCTTGTTCGTCGCCAGAATTGCACGGGAAACGAGCCAAGATCTACCGCAGTCATATCCGCATCATATGAATGAATTGGTGTTGTGACTGGACGAACGGGGCCGATTGCTTGCACTGTGTTCTGTGTGTGTAAACTGAGTGTGTGAACTTTGCGTGCAACCGACTAAAAATTTCGAGCAACCAACTTGCAACATCAACATCAAGACTGAAATTCAAGCAGAAACACCTAACGATTTCCCATCTGGTGGCGTGTAAATAAAAGAAAAAGGAATAACACAGAAATTGGAAACTGGTATCATGATGGCAGATGATAACGAATTAATGAGTGCATCAGAAATTATTCAAGGTGAGATTTGAATGAGAAGTGTGCAACAGTTGACTTGCTCTTTGCTGATCCTGCCGTTGGCCCTTTAAATTCAAGAGTGTGTTGTTTGTTTTGCAATTTGCATGCATCATGTACATGGTTTGAATCTAATTAAGAATGAATGCTGAAGAATTATAATTGAGAAATAATTGAGTAGACTGTAAAACAGATGTGAGATGTTCATAGATTTTGAATAAAACTTTTAAAAAAGAGAATTTAACATTTTATCATCCAGAGACAATTTACTGTAAAACTAAAAATAGAAATTTTCACGAATTTTGCACTAGTCTAGGGGTCTAAGATCGGCAAGCGCAAACTTTAGAACGCTCGAAAAAATATATGCGTGCTTTGAACGGGCTGGATTGTGTGCAACGCGAATTTAAGAACCAGCGAATATTTTTCTGGGTTGCTCAGCGCGTAAAAATTAATCATGCAAAAATAACAGCGTTTACAGTAGTCTACCAACGTTTCTGAGCACCATCATTCTGTGTACGTTGTGAAGTAGATTCTACAAAGTTTAGTTTCCTTTTAGTTTCCGTTTATATTGATTGATTTCATTCTTGCGTTTTACTCTGAGTCTGATGAGTGCATGTCGAAAAGCTTTAGTTACCGTAGACTCTAGATCTACAGTAGAACAGTAGACCTATGTCTCTTTTCAACGCTAAACTACATGTACATGAACTTGAATGTACATTTACAGTACAATACTACATGTCATGATGTACATGTACCTGTGTTAGCTTGTATGGATAAGAATGATTTTTAACTACATGTATGTTCTCAATTTTTCTTTTCAGATCGCCTTTACTTTGCAACACTAAGGAACAAACCAAGAAGCACAACAAACACACACTATTTCTGTATTGATGATGAATTTCAATATGAAAAGTAAGCTGAACGATTGTTTCATGTCAAATGTAGTTTCATGGGGGATTTACAATGTAAAATTGTAGCAAAAATAGAGAAATGCA